TAAAAATATAAAGTAAAATAAAATTATAAATAAAAAAAAAATTATTTAAAAACTTGAAATTTTGGTTGTTTTATTAGGAGTATCCAGCGGTGTAGATTCGATAATAACTCGAGGCTAAGTTACATTAAATTAAATAATTTAATAAGTGATAGAATATTAATAAAAAATATAAATAAAATTAACTTGCTTCTTTTGGAATAATAACTTGAGGCTAAGTTATAAAAATTATATGATTTAATAAGTGATAGAATACTAATAAAAAAAAGAATAAAAATAACTTACTTCTTTTTGAAAGCTGATCTTTCTTTTGTTTGGTACCACAGTTGTTGGTAAAGCTGATATGGACAATATTGATAAGGATGAAGCTGATGTGAATGAAGATGATGCAAATGAAGCTATTGCAGCTAAAGCTAATACAGACGTAATTGAGGATAAAGCTACTATGAACAATATTGATGTAAACAATGAAGCTGATGTAGACAAAGTTGGTTTGGATAAATTTTATGTTTATTGAATTTTGATATTCTACGTTCATTGGGTTCGTTGGGTTCATTGGACTTTGCACTTTGTTTATTTAATAACTGTTTAAGGTGTTGCAAAATATTGAAGTTCAAGACAGTATCAGAATTTGTTCTTTTTCCTTTTTTTTTGTACATCATATCCTAATTTCAAGCAATAAAGTTATAAAAATAAAGAAAAAATTTTTTTTATTTATATAAAATTTACCTTTGAAAATAATATAACTATATAAACTATGTAATTATATTATTCATAAATTAATAATGTATAATAATAAATATATTAACTGATTTATTAATTAATTATATTAGTAATTAAATTAATGCAATTAAGAAACTAGATGCAAATTAAATAATATATTTAAAACTTACTACCACTATAACTAGGAATTTTAAAAATATTTCTTATCATTCAATATTCTGAAAATAAAGCTAAAGCATGAGCACAAATAGAAATAAATATTTTATTTGTTAGACTATTACTCTACAAAATTTTAACCCTAATCATTTTTTATATAATGATGCAAATCAAAAATCATTTGCAATTACCAATTTTTAATAGTAATCATGAACAATTTTTGATTTGCGTCATTATATAAAAAATGATTAGAGGTAAAATTTTGCAAAATGCAATAAATAATATGTTGAACCTACCTGTAGCTCAATATAATAATTACACATAATATAAAGTAAACTAATTGATATCCCTCCAATTGTTATATCACGTATCATTTGTATTATCTTCATTATAATGTGTACATTTTCTATACTTTAAAGCTAATGAATTTGATTAAAAAAGAAAAATATATATATATATTTGAGGTATTTGATAATAGATGATAATTAAGAAAACACTTATTAAATGGTTTTTCAGGATATATTATGCAAGATATATATCTTTAGTAGTAAATTTCTTATATACAATTTAATTTCTATAGTTACTTCATGTTCTATGTATGATCTGAGCAAAATGTGAAAGGAAAGCTCAATAACAAGCTCATATATTTTGAGTTTACCTCCTGTTAAACCATAGGCATAAAGAGTCAAATGCAATTTAAGGATAAGCTTGATCATTATGACTTCCATTATATTGCATATAAAATTTGCTAGCCAGAAGTCTTTAAGCAACATATTATTAAAAACTGACCATTGCAAATATAAATAAAAATATAACCTTAGTGCAAAGTTACTCTATCCTGGATCTTGAGTCTGTTTTCAGTAACTAATGAGAATCAAACTGCATATCAAATTGGTCTGTTTCAGTTCTTGGATAGCTTATAAAACCTTTGACTTAAATCATTTAGTAATCTATTTTATACAATGTAATAGCAAAAATTAATAACTATTATTGTTTAAGACCAATGACAATTGCATGTTTCATAAATATACTTACACTTATTAATCTATGCATATGTATCTTGGCCCAATTTTTAAAGTTCTACAATAATCAATAGATATTGAAATTGGTAGTGTAGCTAACAAAATAAACTTTTAACTTAACAGCTTACAAAAAACTCAAGCTTTGACTCAAGATCTTAGCTTTACTTTGGGATGTGATTCGTTTAAAATATTTCAAACCATTAAATTTCTGTTATTGTAAAAATTATTTTTTTTTAAAAAAAAATAATACGTCTGATAATGTCATAATAATTGATACTAATAGTATATGTTGAATTAAAATTATATAAGAAATCATAATTATGTATAATCATATTTAACTCTTATTATAAATATTACGTACCCTTTTTTTTAAAAAAAAAATAGCTTTTCAATGTAAAAAGTGTAAAAGAGAATTTTCTCGTCGAGCTTTACTTCAAATCATATAAAAAGTCATAATGATACTATTGACAAACTTCTATAGGAAATCACTGAAGAAAAAGAGAAAAATAGATATATTTTATATCAGTCAAATGAAGACCACCTTGCAAGAAAAAGTATAATAGAACTAGATATCCAACTTGAAGATGATAAAGGTGAAATAGAAATAGATAGTCAGCTTGGAGATGACGAAGGTGAAATAGAAATAGATAGTCAGCTTGAAGGTGACAAAGATAGAATAGGAATAGATAGTCAGCTTGGAGATAACAAAGTTGGAATAGATAATCAGCTTGGAGGTGACGAAGATGGAATAGAAAGTCAGCTTGGAGGTGCCGAAGGTGGAATAGGAATAGATAGTCAGCTTGGAGATAATGAAGGTAGAATACTTGGAGATAACAAAGGTGTAATAGATAAATGCTAGATAGATAAATATAAGCTCAAAGGCCAATTAGAAAGTTGGACAAAGGACATTTTAGAGATAGAAGAAATAAATAATCAGTAATATTAAGAACAATAAGCTATTGTTTGTATAACTTCTATACGAATAACAAACAAACTTTATTTTGATCAGTGTTATATATATAACTTAAATATATATATATATATATATTTAGAAAGAATCTTTATTACTTAATGTAGAGCCACCTTTAATTTTTGAGTCTCTTGATGTTACTAAGTTAGTAACTGGTGAAGAACTAAACTTTTCAAGTGAAGAATTTAGGAATTTTATAAAATTGCTTATCAAATGGAATTTATCAGATACATGTAGAAGTGAAATACTTAGATTTGTGAAAAAAATATCTGATGATAATGTAATTTTATCTACTTCAGTAAAACAAGGCTGTCAGTTTTTAGATCAAATAACAGTACTATACATCTCTATTAAAAAAGTGCCTATTATGATTTATGAAGAAGAAACATATTATCTTAACTATTGGTTTATCTTTGATGCCATAAAAGAATTGTTGGGCAATAAAGATATATTTAAACATTGTATTTTTAAATTTACTCTATTATATCATAAAGGAGAAAGGATTTATTATGAACAATATAATGGGAAGTAGTGGAAAAGGGCAAAAAAGACGATCCCAGACAAAGCAAATATTTTATCAATAATCATTTACTCTGATACAACAATATATGACCCTATGGCAAATCAAGTAAACATTCTATTTACTTAACATTAGGAAATATACCTGGCTGGTGATGTAATAAAACTGATGCTAAAGCTCTTTTAGGCTATCTTCCATTTTTAAAACCAAAAACACTATCTCAAAAAAAATCAAAAAGTTTTTTACTTGCTAAATGATCTTTATATCTTAATGCAATAGACATTATACTAGAACTACTGCTTGACTATAAAGACAATGTATTTGATCTTAAAACAGGCTATAACAATCTATGGTGTTATTCATTTATATCTACACTAATAGGAGATCTTCCTGAGTATTCATCATTGATATTGACATATAATTCAGTTAATTGTAAACATCCTTGTCATCAATGCTTGGTGTCAGTTGAGAGCATAAATGATATTAAATTAAGTAATAGTTAACTTATATTAAGAACTCCAGAAACAATGTAAAATATTATAGATCAAGAGCTTGTGCACCAATATTCTATATACAATATAGAAAATATTTTTTGAAAATATCCGTAAGTGTTAATTTAAATTTGCAAAAAAATCAATATGCTGAATAGTATTATTTGAATACTATTCAATGTACCTTTTGATCTGCTATTTCTTGATTTTACAGATATATATATTTGTGAAATTATATAATAAAGTCGAATAGCAGATTAAAAAGCACATTGAATAGTATTTCAATAATACTATTCAACATATTGATTTTTTTTATTTTTTTTACTAGTAATATATATATATTTTTTTTAATATTTTATCTTAGCCAACTAAATATTTACTCAGCCACAGTTCTAGATAAAATGCATCACTTGGACTTAGGGCTGTTCAAATATCAAGTGGTATATACAAGAGAGATATTAAAAGAATTATATGAACAAAATGCTATTGATGAACTTAACCGATGTTTAACAAGAATTTCAAGATTCCCAGGATTAAAATATTTAGCGAAGGTCTAAAAAACATTAAACAATTTATAGCAAATGAATATTATAATATGATGAAAGTGTTTCTATTTATTGTTAAGGATCTTATTTTAAAATATCACAAAGTTTCGATAGAAATTAGAACTGCAAAGCATTATAATAATGCGTTAGTTGATATTTATTATCATTGAAATAAAATATATTTATTTTGCCGAAAAGAAGTTTTTCTTGAATCAGATCTTTTAATGCTTAAAGTATGTATTCATTTTATTAATTAATAAATATATAATTATTCATATATAATAAATAATTTAATTTATTTTTAGAATTTGATTATAAATTGGGCGAAGTTGTTTTTAAAACTTTCTACAAAGTATTTACCTTCAAAACTTAAACTATCTAAGTTACATAACTGGTGTTATCATATAATTGCGGCAATAAAAAAATATGATGCAATTAATGGGTTCACAGCAGAAACTTACGAAACTCTGCATAAAGACTATATAAAAAAACCACATAGGGCTAGCAACAAATGGAATGCAACTGGACAAATAATTCAAGCAGTTAGTATCAGTTACTAATTAAAATTGAAAACTTTAATATTTTGAATAGCATAATCCAAATACTACTTAATATACTATTTAATATTATTATATAACTTTATGAAGTTGCA